CCCCCGGAGCCGCAAAGCCGACCCTCGGTCTCCATGGCAACGGCCTCCCCCGCCGCCGCCAGCCCCTTCCCGCTAACAAATCAATGTGCCTGTGTCTCCTGTCGCGCAACCCTGTCCTCGGCCACCCTCCGAGCCCTGCGAGTCAGGCGGGGCACCAGCGCTCGCCCCCAACTCAGAAGCCGAATGCAGACCCAGCGGAGGCCCGCTGTTGCCGCCCGAGTCTTCCCACACCCCGTGATCTGGTGGGGGATGTCGCGCACCTTCTTCCTGCTCCCGGACCCGTCCCCGACTCCCTGAGCCACCTGCCCCTGCCGCCAGCCTTCGCTGCTCATCCTCACCAGGCCTTGGCCCCAGCATCGCTAGCCGCCCCCTGCACCACACCTGGGTGTGTTGGGGGAGGGCGTGGACGACCACCAAAGCAGAGCCTGGAGCTTGGCTGGGGTTGGGGCGCACAGCTAGGGGAGCGTCCACCTTCTCCCGGACCGGGGCGACCAGCCGGGCCTGCGCCGCGCACTTCTTGTCCACGGCTCTTCCCGACGTGCGTGGCAGACCCTTGGCGAGAAAACCAGGGGAGCGTCGCAGGATCCAGTGCAGGCTGAGGGAGAGGGGCTCACGGGCGAAGTAGCGGGGTCCAGGAAAGGGCGAGGGCCGGGCCCCGGATGCCTCGCGTGCTCACACACGCACACACACGCTCCTCGTCAACTCGCGGTGACCTGTGGCTGGGCAGCGGCGGGGACAGCAGCCCAAGTCCCGGCCCAGCAATCCCCGACCCTTTTATCTTACTGCCCAGGCTGCAAGTAACCGCACCTATACCTTGAAACCCACGATTTAGTTAAGACATGGGTGATAAACTTGGCTGGAAGCAGTTTCCCTTAGCGAGGGATGGGGTGGGAGAAAGAGAGAAAAAAGAACAAGAGAGAGAAGAAAAGTAGAGCCAAGGAGTCTGACTCGAAAGGGCAAGAAGCCCAGAGCGGAAAACCGGCCTCCTGTCCAAAGTTAGGTGCGCGGCGGGCGCAGCGCGGTCCTGGACGCGCGGGACAGGCGCGGCTCCCGGCCGATCCTCCCTTTCACTCCCGCCCCTGGAAACGCGGGGTTCCACTTTTTGGACCTGCTCAAACTTTACAAAGTGGGTGCTAGACTAACAGTCTCATCTCTCTGGTCGTTCGGTCTTATCAAACAGCGAACTGGCGACACCCAGATCGCCCCGGCGACCCGCGCGGGCTGCCCGCGAGAGGCCGCCGACGACCGTGTCCTTAATCATACAAAGTCATTCCCGGTAACAAATAGTTTCGTTGGCCGGTGCCAGCGATACAGCTGTTTCTGTTTAAGCTTAAATACTTTCCAACAGTTTGGGCAGTAAAAATAAAGTCGGCCTCAGCCGCCTGCAAGTGTCTGGTTTCCCCGCCCAGAGAAAGCCCACCCTCCGCCCCGG